ATTGTGTATGATTTGATGATTTTGGCACTTGGCTAATATTTGGGGAAAATTGGAGATTTGCCCTAATTGAATCAAATTATTATTTTGTATAAACAATGGAAATTGACATTAAAAATGTGAAATTGAAAGGGTATTACTGTGAATGGTGGGATTGGTTATGTGTTACTCCATTCTTTGGTAGTTTCAAATAAACTATATGTTATGAGATTTTATATCTGTTTAGAAATAACTGTATTGAGCTATCGGTGGAGGATAACTATGATTGTTGTAGAAATTGCATGCAGATTAGGTGAATTGAAACTAATTACTTGTGTTTGTCATTGAATATGACTATATATATAAACATTGTATATGTATGGTTATTTGGGAATGAAAAGAGGATGTACTCCATTGTTTGAGTTTGTGATTAAATACATTGCATATGTATGAATGATTGTTTGGGAGGAGAAAGGGAATGGATTCCATTATAATTAAGTTGGCTGGAGTGTCTTGGGTAAAAGTCTCGAAATTATACATGGGTGCCTAGCCCGCGGACGAAATATCCGTAAAATGGAAATTGTAGTGCTTGTATAGCCTACGTTTACATAGGTCCCGTTTGACGGCTGTCTACGGACGAAATATCTATGAAAGAATACATGGGTCCCGTTTAACGGTTGCTCGCGGATGAAATATCCGTGAAAGAAAAGTTTGAAGTGCTTACATGTTGATAATGTGGTTCTAGAACTAATGAGTTGTAATCTTATTTGGGTTGTTGAGAAACGATGAAATTGGCTTATGTAATTAAATGAAATGAAGGGAACGGCTTAATGATTAAGTTTGGCGATTTATGACTATACAAAATGTGGATGCCTTTATCTTTGATGTTGTATATGCATAGTGTACTTATACCTTTGCTAAATTCCATATGCTGTGTTAGATGGTTTCTACTAGGCTGTGGCTCCATCTACTTGGGAATAACATTTTTAGCTAATGATGGCATGCCTCCACCAAGGCAATAGCATCGGAGAAACATTTAGAAACAAGGGCTTCTCGTTTTCATTGTATATTTTTGTAAAGCCAAGGGCTTAAGATGTAATGAGCGAAGCTCACTTTTGATTGTAACTAAGAGATGTCTTGGAAAGATATAAGCCCATAGGGCATTAAATTTGTTGTTGTTAATTTACATTACATGCTGTAGATTTAGAATGAACGTTTATGAATGTATAATGCATGTAATCCCTTTTGTAATACGAATTCTGTTATGTGAAAGTGTACCAATTATGTTATATTAATTTCTCCTATGAGTTGGGTTATTTGTATTATTTTGAGGGCGTTACAACTTGGTATCAAAGTATATCAGGTTTCAATACTTTGAGTATGTAGGAAGTGGTTAGTACTACAATGGGTTTGTCTCGCTTGCTAGAGACTCATGTGTGAACGATATGTGCTTATATGACAACATGCTTATGTGATTATTTGGGTATGAGATTAAATTTCTTGGATATTGATTGGGTTTACGGGTTTCTAAGAGTCCTGTTAGAAAGGCACTTGATCACTGCTATTTATAATTGGAACTCTAGCAACGCTGCGGGACGGTCATTATCCCGAGATGAAATTCGTATGTGTTTACGTGATTACATTCTTATGTGGAGTGAATTACTGTTGTCCAATGTATTAGGACACGAGTGAATTAACTTCAGCACATTTGTGAATATGCTAATTTCTTGTGTTACCTTTATTAGGATGTCAGGATGTGGTCATGAAGGTAGGCGTAGTAGGCTTAGAAGGCACAATGTGCTTATACCGGATGGGATTCTGGCGTAGGAGGAAGGGGTTGGTCAGGCCAACGTAGCTGAGCTAGTAGGTTAACATGCCATGAGCGTCTTAGCTCGCGAAAGGGCTGGAGCATTGAGGGAATCGATGGATATTCTCAGAGCTGAGAATCAAGTCCAGGCCCAGGTAGCTGAGACAAGGCCTTCTTTTCTGAAGAGGGAGTTGTTCCGGTCAAATCCGAATGAGGTTTTGGGCGACCCAAAGGAACCACTGAAGGCTGATGAATGGTTGGAACAGATGGTAAAAACGTTTGAGATGCTTGGCATCAAAGACGGGGGTTTGAGAGTGACCTTGGCGTCCTTCTAGTTGAAGGGAGACGCGGGTTAATGGTGGAAGTATGCGAGGGGACACATTGGAGGGACTTGGGAGGCTTTTGTTGACGCCTTCCAAGACAAGTACTTGCCTCCCACTATCAAGGAGAAGTTGAGGGATCAATTTTCTCGCCTCAAGCAGTTGAACACACTTGTAGCCAAGTCTGAGGCCACTTTCACTAGCCTCTTTAGATTTGCACCTGAGTTGGTGGCGATTGAGGAGCACTGTTGTTTAGAGTTCGAGAAGAGATTGAGGATCAGACTCATGTTTTGAGTGGCCGGATCCATGATTAGAGATTATGGGCGCCTTGTGGAGGCAGCAACTCATCTTGAGACCATCATGCAGGCAGAGGAGGAGAGGATGAGGGGCTCTAAGAGGAGTTAGGGTAGTTAGGGGGACGGTAAGAGACAGAGGGGTTCTAACCTTCAGCAGTCTTAGGAAGTTCAGTCGAGGTCTACCTTTCTAGTGCCTAGCTCAGGTTCTGGGAGAGGTGGTTAGGGAGATGTGACATGTTTCAAGTGTGGTCAGTTGGGCCACAAGTCTCCAGTTTGCCCACAAAGAGGAGGAGGGCAGAGAGCAACTTCGTCTTCGGCTCATTCTCAGAGCCAGAGTCAAGGTAGAGGGCAGCCAACCACTTGTTATCAGTGTGGCTAGGCGGGGCACTTGAAAAGGTCTTGCCCATAGTTGGGTGACACACATGGTGCGTTTGGTTCGAGGACGACACACAGTCACTAGCCAGCACAGTTAGCACAAGCCTCGAGGGCCAATCAGGGAGCTTCTTTAGCTCAGTCAGTACAGCAAGCCTATGCTCCGAGGGGCGAGCAGGTAGACCAGAGGCCAATAGGGTGTGTGTATGTTGTTACCACGTCAGATCTTGTACCTGCTCCTTCAATAGTAAGAGGTACTTTCCTGTTTTGCAATTCAGTTGCTAATGTGTCGATTGATATGGGTGCATCCCATTCTTTTATCTCGTCTACATTTGCATCGATTTTGGGGTTGAAGTTGGCACAGGTAGCATCTCCTATTTGTGCAGAGTCACCTATTGGTACTGAGGTTATATTGAAATAGGGGTGTCGGGGTTGTGACATAAAGGATGTTGGTTGTCGACTTCCATTTGCATTTGTTTTGCTTGACATGATTAGTTATGATGTGATTTTGGGTATGCACTGGTTATCGTCATATCGGGCTGTTATAGATTGTTATCATCAGAGGGTTACTGTATGTACCTCGAGTGGTGACTGCTCTTATTTCTTAGGGGACCGGGTGGATAGAGTTTTATCACCGGCGTATGATCCGCATGGGCGGAGTGAACTTAGCTGTCTCCTTATTGGCTTTCTGAGTAATGAGGGTGATGAAGTACAGGTTGAGTTGCCGAGGGTGGTTTGTGAATACCCCGATGTCTTTCCTGAGGATCTTACTAGTTGACCACCTTACCGAGAGATCGAGTTCTCTATTGATTTAGTACTTGGCATGACACCGATTTCTATGGCACCGTATCGGTTTGCACCCGCTGAGTTGAGTGAATTGAAGGTTCAACTCCAAGAATTGTTAGATAAAGGTTTTATCCGTCCTAGTATTTCGCCTTGCGGAGTGCCGGCCTCTTCGCTAAAAGGAAAGATGGAGCCTTGCGATTTTGTATCGATTATCGAAAATTGAGCCGGGTTACTGTTAAGAAAAAGCACCCAATGCCTCGTATAGATGACCTGTTTGATCAGTTGAAGGGGTCTTATTGTTTTTCTAAGATAGACCTGAGGTCGGGTTACCATCAGTTGAGGGTAAAAGAGGAGGATATCCCGAAAATGGCATTCCGTATGCGGTATAGCTGTTATGAGTTTCTAGTGATGCCTTTTGGGCTGACCAATGCACCGGCTGTGTTTATGGATTTGATGAACCGAATTTTCCATGAGTTCCTAGATTGTTTCGTGGCCGTCTTTGTGGATGACATTTTGATTTATTCACCTTTGAGGAGGAACACGAGGAACACTTGGGGGTAGTGCTTGAATTTCTTAGAGCCCATAGATTGTATGCTAAATTCAGAAAGTGTGAATTCTGGCTGAGAGAAGTTAAGTTCTTAAGCCATGTAGTATCCGGGGAAGGGGTGACGGTAGATTCATCCAAGATTAAGGCAGTGCAAGATTGGGCACCACCTAAGAATGCCTTTGAGATTCGTAGTTTTCTGGGGTTGGCTGAATATTACCGGAGGTTTGTGAAAGATTTCTCTAAACTAGCTTCACCTTTAATTAGGTTGATAAGGAAGGGGGTCAAATTTGTGTGAGATGAGACTTGTGAGAAGTCATTTCAAGAACTTAAAGTTAGACTTAGACTCACAAATGCTCTAGTTTTAATTATCCTAGAGAGGGGTTTGGGTTACTCGGTTTATTGTGATGCCTCACGGGAAGGCTTGGGTTATGCTGTGTTTTGATGTAAGAAGGGAAAGTAATAGCCTATAGCTCGCAGCAATTGAAAACACATGAGAGGAACTACCCTACTCATGACCTAGAGTTAGCGGCAGTGATCTTTGCTTTAAAGATTTAGAGGCACTATTTGTATAGTGAGAAGTTCGAAGTATTTTCTGATCACAAGAGTCTGAAGTATCTGTTTACATAGAAAGACTTGAACCTGAGACAGAGGTGGTGGATAGAGTTCATAAAGGACTATGACTTCAAGTTGCACTATCATCCCGGAAAGGCCAATGTAGTGGTCGATGCTTTGAGTAGGAAGTCTATCAGTAGCGTGGCCTGTGTTGCCATCCGGAAGTGGAAATGTTGGGTACTCTTGGGGAGTTTGACTTGCATCTTGGCAAGTCCATTGAATCTGCGGCCTTATTTTCTGTGGTTGCACAACCTGTACTTGTGAACTGAGTGTTAGAAGCGCAGATGAGTGACCTTGAGGTAGAAACCCTTACAGAGAAGATTTCTAGTGAAAAGGTGGAGAAGGGCTTGAATGTGTATCCTGACCAGAGTGTGAGATACTGGGATCGTTTGTTTGTGCCGGAGTCTTGCCAAGAGGAAGTACTCTGAGAGTTTTACCATACACGCCTTGCGGTTCATCCGGGAGGCACAAAGATGTATCATGATCTGAGTCGCCAGTTTTGGTGAAGGGCTATGAAGAAGGATGTAGCCGTATTTGTATCGAAGTGCCTCACTTGTTAGCAAGTGAAGGCCGAGCATTAGAGGCCAATGGGTTTGTTGCAACCCTTGCCTGTAGCCGAATGGAAGTGGGAATATGTCACGATGGATTTTGTTATGGGTCTTCCGAGGACTCAACGGGGTAGTGATGCCATTTGGGTGGTAGTTGACTGGTTAACCAAGTCTGCGCACCTTATACCTATGCGCGTGAATGATTTGGTAGACTATCTTGCCGACTTGTATATTAGGGACATAGTGAGGTTGCACGGGGTCCCTGTGACAATTGTTTTGGATAGAGATCCGCGTTTTACAACTCGGTTGTGGCAAAGCTTGTAGAGTGTCTTGGGCACTAAGTTGACCCTTAGTACGGCGTATCATCCTCAGATTGACGGACAGTTCGAGCGTACCATTTAGATCCTTGAGGATATGCTTTGAGGCTGTGTCCTTGACTTTAAGGGGTCATGGGAGAGTCACTTATCCTTAGTGGAGTTTGCTTATAACAATAGTTTCTAATTGAGTATTGGCATGGCATCGTTTGAGGCCTTGTATGGTTGACCTTGTAGATCTCTAGTGTGTTGGGCGGAAGTGGGTGACACACCTTTGTTAAGCCCAGAATTAGTTCTAGAAACGACTGAGAAAGTGGCCCTTATTCGAAAGAGATTGATTACGGCTCAAAGTCGCCAGAAAAGCTATGTTGACCGTAGGAGGAGGGAAGTTGTCCCATCGGTTTATTGGCTCTTTTGAGATCCTTGAGCGAATTGGGGAAGTCGCTTACCGTTTGGCATTACCGCCATAGTTTTTCGGGGTTCATAACGTGTTTCACATTAGTATGCTTCGGAAGTACGAGCCGAATCCATCGCACATGCTGGATTGGACCGACTTAGAGGTAGATGAGGATGCCTCGTATAAGGAGAGACTGGTGAGGGTCTTAGATAGACAGGACCAAGTCTTGCGAGGCAAGACAATTCCCTTAGTAAAGGTATTGTGGAAACATCACGGGATCGAGGAAGTAACTTGGGAGCGTGAAATGGAAGTCCGAGAGAAATATCTGGACTTGTTTGTAGATATCTAAACATGTATTAAAATTTTAATTATGATGATGAAAGGTATAAACATTGTATATGTTTTGAATTATAAGAACATTGTATATGTTATGGGCATCTTGGAAACATGAGTTTATTATAAACATTGCATATGTTTGAGAATGTGGAATATCACATGTATTATATCACTTTGGGAGCATTTTATATGCGGTGTCAATTTCTTGAAAGCTCGGATTCTGGTTAAGAATTGTAAATGTTTTGGGAAATTACAAATTTTATTTAATATGGGACTTGTGTATCGAGTTGATGAGAATGGATGACCGGAAAATAGGTCATGGGGATTAAATTGATTGATTATCATTGTTGGGATTGGTTTAATCATGGCTTTAAAACTTAGTTCAAATTTCGAGGACGAAATTTCCTAAGGTGGGGAGGTTGTAGCACCTGCATCCTTCGAAGTCTTTGGAAAGTGTATTTGAATCCTTTATTTTATTTTAGAAATCTTTGTTGTTGTTGTATGTTGGTTTTAGAGGAGTATAATCCGATTTAAACTCGTTGGGTTTGGTTGTTCGCACTTGTTCTTGTCAAAAAGTTGTTTGGGAACTTAGAAATTCTATTCTAGAGTCGACACCAGCTTTCCTAAGGGTCGACCCTTACCTGTGGTGAAGTTTCTAGAAGTGTTTCTAGAATTTAGAGTCGATACCAGCCTTAGTGGTGTCAACACCTGCTTCTTGTTGCTGTCCACAAGGGTTGACACCAGTCTGGGAAGGGTCGACCCTTGTATGTTGTTGAATCTGGGAGTTGCATGCTGGAATTTGGTGTCGACACCAATCAGGGAGGGATCGACACCTTGCTTGTTGCACTCTTTGCTTTTCTGTCTAAAGGGTCGACACCACTGCTGCAAGGGTCAACCCCTGCGAGTTTTTTTTTTCTTCAAGATTTCAATCCGGTTTGGGCCCCACTTTTTGGGGATTTTGACTTGATCTTTTGGGTTGACTTTGGGACTTCATTTTACTTTGACCTAGCACTATAAATAGGCCTTTCACTTAACATTTTCTTTACTTTTTCTTCTCTTCTTCCTTCTCCAAACCGTGAGTCTCTCTCTCTCTCTCTCTCTCCAATATTACTTTTTGCTCAAAGATCTTTAGATCTACTCACTTGGAAGCATCTCCTCGCCTTGCTTCTTTGAGATTAAGTGTAGAGCTTGTCAAGGGCTTCGTTTTGATCAGGGCAAGTCGTTGTTTCGTCGCCGTCGATTTTTGAGCTTTTCTCCCTTCTCTCTCTTCTAAACTTGAGGTAGGGATCTTTTCTACACTTTCATATGATATTTAACTTAGTTATTTGTGTCTTGTGTAACAATGATGTGATTTGGGAGTGTTTAAGGCAAACCTAGGGTTTGGGCGTAAAATGGAAAGAGGGGTTTTTGGGTAAAGATGAAATAAATGCTTGAGGGGTTTGAAAATGATGTTGTATTGTGTATGATTTGATGATTTTGGCACTTGGCTAATATTTGGGGAAAAATGGGGGATTTGCCCTAATTGAATCAAATTATTATTTTGTATAAATAATGGAAATTGACATTAAAAATATGAAATTGAAAGGTTATTAATGTGAATGGTGGGATTGGTTATGTGTTACTCCATTTTTTGGTAGTTTCGAATAAACTATCTGTTATGAGATTTTATATCTGTTTAGAAATAACTGTATTGGGCTATCAGTAGAGGATAGCTATGATTGTTGTAGAAATTATATGCAGATTAGGTGAATTGAAACTAATTACTTGTGTTTGTCATTGAATATGACTATATTTATATAAATTGTATATGTATGGTTATTTGGGAATGAAAAGATGATGTACTCCATTGTTTGAGTTTGTGATTAAATACATTGCATATGTATGAATGATTGATTGAGAGGAGAAAGGGGATGGATTCCATTATAATTAAGTTGGCTGGAGTGTCCTGGGTGAAAGTCTCGAAATTATACATGGGTGCCTAGCCCGCGGACGAAATATCCGTAAAACGGCAATTGTAGTGCTTGTATAACCTACGTTTACATGGGTCCCGTTTGACGGCTGTCTACGGACGAAATATCCGTGAAAGAATACATGGGTCTCGTTTGACGGTTGCCCACGGACGAAATATCCGTGAAAGAAAAGTTTGAAGTGCTTATATGTTGATAATGTGGTTCTAGAACTAATGAGTTGTAATCTCATTTGGGTTGTTGAGAAACGATGAAATTGGCTTATGTAATTAAATGAAATGAAGGGAATGGCTTAATGATTGAGTTTGGCGATTTATGACTATACAAAATATGGATGCCTTTATCTTTGACGTTGTATACGCATAGTGTACTTATACCTTTGCTAAATTTCATATATTGTGTTAGATGATTTCTACTGGGTTGTGGCTCACCCTAGTTGGGGATAACATTTTCTGTTAATGATGGCATGCCTTTACCTAGGCAATAGCGTCGAAGAAACTTTTAGAAACAAGGGCTTCTCGTTTTGATTTTATATTTTTGTAAAGCCAATGGCTTAAGATGTAATGAGCGAAGCTCACTTTTGATTGTAACCAAGAGATGTCTTGGAAAGATGTAAACTCATAGGACATTTAATTTGTTGTTGTTAATTTACATTACCTGCTGTAGATTCAGAATGAACGTTTATGAATGTATAATGCATGTAATCCCTTTTGTAATACGAATTTTGTTATGTGAAAGTATACCAATTATGTTATATTAATTTCTCCTATGAGTTGGGTTATTTGTATTATTTTGAGGGCGTTACAATGAGTATAACTATAATCCTTCTAAGCAAAAAAAATAAAATGTAAAGAAAATGAAACTTAAAATACATAGTAATGAGAAGCCGAACAAATTAAAAAAATTTGGTTTGGGGTTTCCGGAAATGTATCTTTTATTCGGTAGTGGGTTACCAAACTTATATTTTTTGTTCGGCAATGTGATGCTGAACTATTTTATTTTGTTTGATTTCGAACCACCGAATGAAAGTCAAATACTAGTCCAAAAAAATGAAACAAAAAACTACCAAATAAATTAAAAAAACTTACAATTTCATTTTTTTTATAGTTCTTCACCACTGTTTTTTCATTCATCGCTTTCTTTAATGATCAAAATACTATGATTCTCATTTTTTGAAAAGAGATGTGTAAGAGAAAAGAAAAATTAAGAAAGGAAAAAGAGGAGTAAGGATTGAAGACCAAGGGGTGTAAGGAGATAACAAAATATATTTAATTTTAGTGTTTTGTCCTTTAAGGTAATTTCATACATGGATAAAATTTTAAAAAAAAAAACTCATATGAAGATGCAAAGAGATAAAGTAGTGATGTAAGTAGAATTATCTAATTTTTTATTATTTTATTTCCAAATAAAACAAAAAGATTAAATTATTTATGGATGTGTCGTAAATGTAGGTTTCACGGACACCCATCCAAAAGACACCACATAAGCAAAACGTGGGCCTCACTATAATGAAAAATGCTTAGGAGCACTAATTAGTGCTCCCACTAATTAGGTGGCAGTGGGTCCCGCCATTAATGATGTGATGTTTTGGTCTTGGAGTTGTAATTTTTTTTTATTTTTTTTTTTTTTTTTACTTTTTTAATGCATTAGTGCTATTAGTGGTGATATTTTTAGTGGGATGAATCATTGTTGCACTATAATTTTGTTATCAAATGAATGAACCCAGCGCCACGCGTCAGGATCCTTTTGAGTGAAAAGCCTAGAGTCATCTCCTAAAGTGATTAATCTAACGGCTGACATTAAATCTCACTAAAATGATGTCGTTTTGGTGAGTAATTTGAAAATAATAATAATAAAAAAAAAATTTAGCTTTCTGGGTTTCTCTTTCAGTAAGTTAGTGGGAGAGTTAGAGAGAGAGAAGAGACCAGAGCAAGAAAAGGTACCAGAGCTTTGAGTAATTTTAAAAAAAAAAAAAAAATTCAACTTTTTTCTTTGAAAATATCGAACAAATTCAACTTCTTCTTTTGATATGTGAGATCTAAATAAATAAAAAAGAAAGATTAAATCGATTCGATAATAAAATTAATTCAGATTTGTATCATCATCATCAAAAGATTGATTTAGATATGTATTTCTATATGCATATATGTATATTTATAAACCTTGTGAAGAAGACTAAATCGATTCGATAATAAATTTGATTCAGATCTGTGTCATCATCATCATCAAAAGATTGATTCAGATATGTATTTCTATATGCATATATGTATATTTACAGACCCTATAGTACGAGCACCAAAGATTGATTCAGATCTGTTTCATCATCATCATCATCAAAATCAAAATGAGAATATGTATTTCTATATGCATATATATATATATATATATATGTATATATATTTACAGACCCCATAGTGCGAACATCAAAGATTGACTCAGATCTGTATCATCATCATCATCAAAATCAAAATGAGCAACAAAATCAGCAGATACAGTCAAAATGAGCAACATCATCATCAAAATCAAGGGCTGATTTGTGAAGCACTAATGTATAGATCAAGAACAAGATATTCACTTGATCCAAGGATTTCACTTGAATCAAAACTCTGGTCCCTTCTCTTGCTCTGGTCCCTTCTCTCTCTCTAACTCTCCCACGAACTAAGTAAAAGAGAAACACAGAAGGTTGATTTTTATTTTTATTTTTTTCAAATTACTTATCAAAACGACGTCATTTTAATAAGATTTAATATCAACCGTTGAATTGATCGCTTTAAAAGATGATTCTGGACTTTTCACTCTAGAGGATCTTGATGCCATGGCCACCAATTGCTGCCACGTCTTCATCTTTTGAATTTCTCTTAATTTATTCTATCATCACCGACAGTAGCAAGTGGGGAATCAAGTTTTCTTATTAATTGAGGGGATTTTTTTTTTTTTGCCTTGGCTGTTGATGTTTAATCTTAAGAAATAGTGTTGAATGGTTCAATGCCTAGCTACTGAGCTCCCGAAATGAAATCTGCCGCGTGTGTAATGTTATCTCAAAATAAAAACAACATTGACAACAATAAAAAAAAAAGTCTGGGTTTGGTCCAGTCTGTTATCGGATTGGATCGTGTTGTTGGGTCCGTAGAGACTCATCATGGGTCCCGTTTTAAAAATCTAAACTGTTCAATGTGTAGAACTCGTTGAGTATTATATATCTAAAAAAAATTACGTTGATCGGATATCGATATCTATGTGATCAAATCAGTTTTGTATAAAAAAAAATAGATGATGAATAAATTAACGGTTGATAAAAAACTATTTTGATCGCATAGCTATCGATATCCGATCAACGTGATTTTTCACAGGTATATAGTACTCGACGAGTTCTACACATTGAACGGTTCAAATTTTCCAAATAAGACCCATGATAGACCTCTACAAACTCAACAGCACGATCCAATCTAATGATAGATTAGACCAAAGCCCGGCCCTAAAAAAAAAATCCCAACCAAACATATTCCTAGGCTTGTCAACCAAACCTACCTAACCTTCCCAACAATCCCATCCAAAACACACTTCCCAACAAAACCCAACATCTATATTATATAACAATAATGATATGTAGCATTATATAATAACAATCTAAGTTATTTTCCAACTACTTTTTATTGCAAACACAACCAAAATATTATTAGTATGGAACAAACACCCATATAGCAATTCTACCGAGTCCAGGTTTGGGTCACCTCATCCCACTAGTCGAGTTTGCCAAGCAACTTGTTCACCGCCACAGCTTCTCCGCCACTTTCATCATCCCCACTACCGCCCCACCGTCCTCAGCTCAAACCGCAGCCCTCGAATCCCTACCCAAATCCATAAACTACCTCTTTCTTCCTCCAATCACCTTCCACGACCACTTCGAAGGCCCTGAGGCCGTAACACAAATCGCCCTCACGGTAATTCGCTCTCTTCCTTCGTTTAGCGAGGTTTTGGAGTCACTCATTGCCACCACCAAGTTAGTTGCTTTAGTGGTTGATTACTTGAGCACCGAAGCAATTCATGTAGCAAAACAGTTTTGTATCTCCTCTTACTTGTTCTCTCCCTCGCCGGCCATGGCTTTGTCTTGGTGCTTCTTCTTTCCAAAGCTTCACGATCAGTTAGTTTCTGATAATTACAGAGACCTTCCTGAATTGGTCCAAATACCAGGCTGCGTACCGGTTCATGGTAGAGACCTTGTGGTGGACCTGGTTCGAGACCGCGACACTGTGGCCTATAAATGGATTCTTCACCATTGCAGACAGTTCAGTCTTGCTGATGGCATAATCCTAAACAGCTTTATGGACTTGGAACCGGGACCCATAAAGGCTTTGCAAGGAGATGAACCGGGAATCCCACAGGTTTATCCAATTGGACCAATTGTCCGAGCCGGTTCAAGTAATCCGCTCGAGCGGTCAGAGTGTTTACAGTGGTTGGACATCCAGCCACGTGGCTCGGTCTTATTCGTCTCGTTCGGGAGTGGTGGGACTCTCTCAAATGATCAACTCAATGAACTAGCCCTAGGGTTGGAGGTGAGTGGTCATAGGTTTTTGTGGGTTGTAAAGAGTCCAAATGATAGTGCCAATGCTACATATTTTAGTGTCCAAAGCCAAGATGACCCTTTTGGTTTCTTGCCAAATGGGTTCATGGAGAGGACCAAAGAGCGAGCTCTACTGGTCTCATCTTGGGCACCACAGGTTGAGGTCCTGAGTCATGGCTCAACCGGTGGGTTCATGACTCACTGTGGTTGGAACTCGGTTTTGGAGAGCGTTGTCAATGGCATACCATTGATTGCTTGGCCACTCTTTGCTGAGCAAAAGATGAATGCGGTGATGCTAAGTGAGGGTTTGAAAGTGGCACTGAGACCAAACATGAACCAGAATGGGATTTTGGGTAGAGATGAGATTGCAGAAGCTGTGAAGGCTCTAATGGAAGGAGATGAAGGAAAGATGCTTAGAAATCATATGTTGGAATTAAAGGAAGCTGCTCTAAAGGTCCTAAGCAATGATGGGTCTTCCACAAAGTTACTCTCAGAGTTGGCACATAAGTGGAAGAGTGTTGGAAGCATTTGAGATGATCAACAATGCTAGGTACTCCCATTATTGATGAAGCTTCATTGTATCATTTTCCTACATCAGTAATTTTCTCGTTTTGCGAATAAAAAAAAATCAATGAGGAAATTGTTATTTTAATTTAAAAGTTAGACTGAATTTTTAAATTTAATAATATAACATTCAATTTAAAATATTTAAGACAATTTTCCTCTATATTCAGTGGAGTCTTTGAAGTTGCTGCTGCTGTTGCCGCCTTATTGAGATTGCTGTTATGCTGCTTGCTGCTTTTTTTTGGACTATTCTGCCTCTTGCTATTGTTTGTTTCTTACTACCGTATGTTGTTGGTTGGCTTCCCACCAATATGTGGTGTGCTAATATATGATTAGATCTGCTTTACTATGCCAATTTCATTGGGATTACTTAACGAGGTATGTTAGGAATTTTAAATAATTTATTAATTTTTTTACTAAATTTTTTATATAGGTATGAGATCTATATACATGTGAGTTTGTATGGATATCACACCTATATAAAAAATTTAGTAAAAAATTTGAAATTCATAATATTTTTCTTACTTTTGCTATGATACTTTTTACATTTACCTTCTTTATTTATAGATGTATATCTCATGTCTTGTTTTTTGATCCTCATCTAGAAAGTTGTTTTTTATTGATAAAAAAGAAAAGGAGAAAACTCTTTTTCTTATATCCATTCTAATTATTAGTTAATTATCTATCTCACACATTATTAATTCAAGAAAATAAATTTAAAATTTTAACTTATATATTATTTTTCAATCAAAAAATTATGGTATGCCAATTAAATTTATTATGATTGTGATGCACGAGTAAATATGGATGCAAGAAAATGATATATGAGCTTACTTGACTATTGAGGTGTCGTTTAGTAACACTTACGTTTTCTGTTTTCTGTTTATATTTATAAAAGTTTTAAAAATTAAAATAAAAACTTGTTTGGTAAATTTTTGATTTATAAATCAGTGGTCTCAGTTTATAAATTTGGTCAAAAAATGTAAACTCAAAAAATGTGTTTCCGTTTTGAATTTAATAAATATAGTATTAGTGCATATGCATTACATCAACCGAAGGCCAAGCTACACATTTGTGAAGTGCATCTCCAATTGTTTTGACACCTTCAAGAGCTTTCACCAAATTTTGACGAGGCTTTATCGCTTTCGTAATACGAACTTCCCAAAATTCTGGCCCCAATCGTTGTCCACCTACTACTTTGGATGGGTCCTTAGAAATAACTATGCCAATTGCCACAACTTGTTTTGGCAATTTAGAAGTAAGTAATTCTACTTCTTGTCCAACCTTCAAAAAAAATTAATGTGTAAATGTTGTGTATGAAAGCAATCACATTAAAGTATTTAGGATTAAATACACTTTACCCCCTTCTAGTTTAGCTCAAAAACAAAAGAAAATAACGTTTGCATTTTACTCCATACCAGAGATGTGTATATTTTTAAACTATAGGGAGGTAATAATGTGTTTTCTAACTAACCCAAAAATTTAACTAGTATTCCTTGAAGAAATAGAACTAATAATAATGTTTATGAAAAAATTTAATAACTATGTTTAAATACTCATTATGCGTAAACATTGTCTTACTTCATGTGATGGAACCATTGGCTCTTCATTCAACTGGTGAGAACTAGAGGCATCTGGAACCTGTTGCATATTGAATGATGGTCTGGAACCATTCTGTTTAAACATAACCATATAATCATCTAACTTTACAATATCCAATTTATTATAGTAAAACATACTTAAATTAAACTAGGATTAAATACACATTACCCCTCCAATATGTGAAGGCATTGATGGTGATTGAGGCATTGGATATCCCATAGTTTCCACATGAGCTTGCATTTTGTCACACTTGCGCTCTAACTGAGTAAACCTTTCACCCCACTCAGCTAATAATTCCTGTCGCACCTCTTCTCGTACCTCTGTGCGCAATTTATCCATGTCTATACGTTGTCGAGGTCCAGAATATCTTGTCCCAAACACCTGAGATGGGCAAGGTCCCAATCCATAGGTACGTACACAACCATGCCCATCTACTCCGAAGACCTCAGTGAATAGTTCCTCTCGAAATTTTTCAGTTTGTAAGGACTCGGGCACTTAAGACAATCCCTCTTTCAAACGAGACTAAAATATAAGAAAAAAAATTTATTAGAACATGAATAGGTAAATAATTAATCGTAAACATTGATCACATTATTACACATACAATGGCTACATCTGATGCCTCATCAACTGGATCTCCATTCTTCTTTGTGTGTGTCTCTATGTAGACCATTATCCGATCGGGTTGCACCTTATCTCTTTTATACATCTTCATTATTAGGAACAATAAATACATATTACAACTTTACCAAATACAATGCATATTGAGAAAAAATTGTTAACCTATCATTTACCTCATCCTTTACCCGACAATGGGCCTTTCTCCCACTTGTATGGGACATTGTCAATTTTTTTTGATTGTCACTGTTGATTGTACTGCGTTCCTGTCACAATAAATAGATATCGAGATTTGGTACAAGCATAGCCAAAGACTTTATTGACCATAACCGGAATAACAACCACAATAAGTCATTATCAGGTCATAAAAAACAAAATTCTAAGGTAAAAAAATTATAGAGTGCAACAATTAATACCTGTGCCTCTAGACTATTCCAAAATTCAACGAGAATCTTCCACTGACTAGGATCCACCCTATCGGGACAATTTGCTAAGCGTTCTTCATTAGTTTTGTACTTGTTGAAGTGCTTTCTTTTCAGTTGGTCTTTCCAGTCTTTCCATTTCTTTCCAATTGACATCAAGCAATTATGTTTGAAAATATCTGGTGCATCAGTGTTGTCCTATATATATAACGAGATATCAAACAAATATATTTGTTAATTAAAGTATGAGTACGAGAATAAGATTTATATAGTACTTGCATTTTCATACCTTAACTTCCTGCCATATACATTCTTTATAGGGGTTTAACTGTGGAGCTCTCCAATCATTGAAAGTTAATGGTGCAAAATTCCCATTCCGGGCTAGAATGCCTAACTGACTTTGTAATTTTGCAGCTTCATCGCCAATAGGTTGATTCTCTTCATTTAATGTAACCTTTAACTTTTGTCCCGTGCCCCATCTGGTAAAAGGACGACCAGGCCCTCTTGTTTGTCTAATTGTTGATTGACCCGTGCTGGTAGCTATTGAAACTTTTATAAAATAGGCATAAAAGATAGCAAAAATTAAGTAAACATGTGAATTTCAGCTCAAGGTTCCAATTCATAGCGTAGCATGTAATGGTAATTGCTCTATATTTGATGGCTATTCAAATTAAATTACCTGCTCCACTTGATGACTGCAATTCATGATTACTTTGTTGGGAAAAGCTCACAGTTGGAGTCATATTGTTGCCAAGAGGTTGTGGTGGTTGCGACTGTGATTCTGACTGCGGCTGTGGTCGAGGCTGGGGCTGAGGATGTGACTGATTAGTAGTAGATGCTGGTTGTGAAACATCAGCCATGGAGCCAGCTGTCCAACGGGGTTGCTTTGGTTTCATAGTCATCTGAAAAAAAAACAAAACAAAAATGTATTTGAACACTTGTTACTTGGATGCAAGGATGTACAAATAAGCATGAAATTATGTATGCAAACTTATGTGTTACAAACTTAAGTATGAAATTATATATGCAAACTTATGCAAGGATGCAAGGTTGTAGTGCCTACGGTTGTGGCTGTGATTGCTGTTGTGCCGGTTGTGGCTGCGACTGAAGCAGTGGCTGATGTTGTGATTGATTAGTAGTAGGTGCTGGTTGTGAAACATTAGCCATGAAGCCAGTTGTCCAACATGGCTTCTTTCGTTTTGTAGTCATCTAAAAAGAAAAAAAAGAAACACCTTTGAATGCTTATTAGTTAGATGAAAGGATGTGCAAATAACTATGAAATTATATATGCAAACTTAATGCAAGGATGCAAGGTTGTAGTGCCTGCGGTTGTGGCTGTGATTGCTGCTGTGCCGGTTGTGGCTGCGACTGAGGCAGTGGCTGATGTTGTGACTGATTAGTAGTAGGTGCTGGTTGTGAAACATTAGCCATGGAGCCAGCTGCCCAACATGGCTGCTTTCGTTGCTTTCGTTTCGTAGTCATGTTTGCATGTATGACTTACGTGCTCTCTAAACCAAAGAGGAAATTGTTCGTTGTGCTTTCTCATAAGATCACGCTCACTTAAACGATGTCTATCAGCTTTAAGCTGCGCTATATTTGATGGCTATTCAAATTAAATTACCTGCTCCACTTGATGACTACAATTCATGATTACTTTGTTGGGAAGAGCTCAAGGTTGGAGTCATATTGTTGCAAAGAGGTTGTAATGGTTGCGACTATGATTCTGACTGCGGTTGTGGCAGAGGCTGGGGCTGAGGATGTGACTGATTAGTAGTAGATGCTGGTTGTGAAACATCAGCTATGGAGCCAGCTGTCCAACGAGGTTGCTTTCGTTTCATAGTCATCTGGAAAAAAATAAAACAAAACAAAACAAAAAAGTATTTGAACACTTGTTACTTGGATGCAAGGATGTACAAATAAGTATGAAATTATGTATGCAAACTTATGTGTTACAAACTTAAGTATGAAATTATATATGCAAACTTATGCAAGGATGCAAGGTTGTAGTGCCTGCTGTTGCGGCTGTGATTGTGGCTGTGGTTGCAGCTGCGCCGGTTGTGGCTGAGACTGAGGCTGTGGTTGATGTTGTGACTGATTAGTAGTAGGTGCTGGTTGTGAAACATTAGCCATGGAGCCAGCTGTCCAACAAGGCTGCTTTCGTTTCGTAGTCATCTAAAAAAAAAGAAAAAAAAAAAACCACATTTGAATACTTATTAGTTAGATGCTAATGAATATATGAACACTAACTAATGAATACAAATTAAATAAAAAGTAAATAAGTCTCACTGTCTTACATGTGCTAACTTTTAGGATAACATAGAATCATGCACAAAAGAAGAACTAATAATCATTATCATAGTCGTCGTCATCACTGTCACCACCATCAACATAAATATCATCACTGTCATCATCACTTTCATCATCATAATCATCTTCTTTTTCATCACTATCATCGTCATAATCCTCCTCTTCACCACTATGATCTATAGTGGCATCATCACCACCATCAACAGTTGTTCCATTCACATTTGACCGAACCCAATCAACATCATCCTCCTGAATGTATGTTGAATCATCTAGATGTTGACTAGAATATGGCTCAACTTGCGGACATGTTATTGCATCTTCAAAAGATTCCCTCCCGCGCATATCATACAAATCCCTGGGTGTCATCTTCACAACTATATGCCAATCTTTCTCAATAGGGTCTTGTATATACCAAACTTGTTGTGCTTGGGATGCAAAGATGAATGGTTCATCTGACATTCGATTTTGTTGATACAAAAGATGCTTAAAATTCACAAGTGTGAACTTGAACTCATCTTGACTCTTCCCCACATTGTTATCAACCCAATTACATTTGAATAACACAAACTTGAAGTCATTAGAATATCTCAACTCAATTATATCAGTTAAAACCCCATAGAAAGTAACTTCTCCACTAATTGGTCGTCCATCTCTTGAACTTGCATAACTTTGTGTATATGCAGTCAATGACACTCCACTATTTTGAATTTTTCTACTCTCCTCACGTTGTTTAGTGTGAAACCTAAACCCATTTATAATATACCCACTGTATCTTCTTGCCCAATTGTCTGGTGCTAGGGACAAAATTTTTACTTCATCTGAGATGTTTGCATTTTCAATTTGTTTCAAGTGTTGAACCTACATGTTAATCCAATGTATTAGAAATCACATATCAAAGATACCATTATATATACATATACCATTATTTTAATCCAATGTTTGCATGTATGACTTACGTGCTCTCTAAACCAAAGAGGAAATTGTTCGTTGTGCTTTCTCATAAGATCGCGCTCACTTAAACGATGTCTATCAGCTTTAAGCACTTGAATGTGTTTCCTGCATGATTGAGAATAGGTATAGGATATTATATATGCTATTTAATTGACTAGAAATTGAATATTTAATTTAGTAGATTTCTTACTCTCGGAATGGAGTGACTACATTAGAGTTGGCTAGCACATATCTATGTGCTTGTTCCCATGCAGTTTTATCAAGTGGGAATAATTTCCCTTTCCCTGAAGAACGTCCCCTTTGTTGACCCTCATAATTTCGTATCGGCCGATTTAATTTTGTCTCAACATCATGCAAATATCGACTACAAAATGTCAAACACTCTTCTGCTAAATACCCTTCTGCAATGGAACCCTCTGGATGGCTTCGATTACGCACGTACTTTTTAAGTGTAAGCAAATACCTATGAAAAAATAAAATTTATTTAGTTAGAAGATAAGCTTGATCAGTGCACGTCATTTATATGTACCTAAAATTGAAAAATTAATGCATACCTCTCAATAGCATACATCCATCGGTAATGCACTGGTCCAGCAAGTCTTGCCTCTTCTGCTAAATGAACAGGCAAATGCTCCATGATATCAAAGAAGGAAGGTGGAAAATTTTTCTCAAGATGGCAAAGAGTCAATCTAATTTTCTCTTCAAGATGACCACAATCATTTGGATGTATTGCTTTTGAACATAACTGTCCAAAAAAAGTACCTAATTCAATCAAGGTTTCACAAACATTCTTAGGCAGTGTCCTTCTCACAGCTAGAGGCAACAGTTGTTGCATTAGAATATGGCAATCATGGCTCTTAAGCCCTGAAATAGTTCTCTCTTTGAGTTGTACACGGCGTGAAATACTTGACGAGTATCCATCCGGGACTTTCACATTTTTTAGCACCTTGCAAAATATTTCTTTGTGCTCTTTATTCATTGTGAAACAAGTTGCAGGTAAAAAAACTTTACCATTTGGCCGTTGTTGAGGGTGAAGAGCTTTAGAAAGTCCCATCTCTTGAAGGTCACGACGAGCTTTTAGACTATCCTTTGTTTTTCCCACAACATTCAATAGGGTCCAAAGTATATTTTCACACACATTTTTCTCAATGTGCATAACATCAAGATTGTGTCGAATTAAATTGTCCTTCCAATATGGTAATTGCAAAAAATAGTTTTCTTTCTCCAATTATATTCTTCCCTCAAGGTTTTATGAATGCCTCTCCCATCCTCAACAATTTTTCTTTTTTTAGACACATGTGTCTTTTCATTTCCATCACCCTTCCCATATTTGTTCTCAATGAATTCTATTTGTTTGAAAATATCATCACCGGATAATTGAGGTGGCATTTTCTTTGTTTCAACACTTCCATCAAAACCTATTGCATCTTTCCGAAACTTATGCCCTTCATCTAAGAACCGTCTATGGCCCATATAACAATACTTTCGACTATGTTTTAACCATCTAGAATGGGTATCTTTATTACAAGATGGACAAGCCAATGCTCCTTTTGTACTCCATCCAGATAAATTAGCATATGCAAGAAAATCACTTATGGTCCATAACAAAGCTGCACGCATATGAAACATCTGGTTGCTTGATGCATCATAAGTAAGTATGCCATCAGTCCATAATTCCTTTAACTTGTCAATTAAAGGTTGCAAATACACATCAATATCATTTCCAGGACCACGAGGCCCATCAATAAGCAAAGATAACATGAAATATGGTTGCTTCATGCATAACCAATGAGGCAAGTTATATGACATCATCACAACAGGCCACGTGCTATGAGCAATGCTCATTGTCCTAAATGGGTTAAAACCATCAGATGCTAATCCAAGTCTGACATTTCGACTGTCACTAGCAAAATCTTGATTTTTTTCATCAAAAGTTTTCCATGCAAGTGAATCAGCTGGATGTCTCAATATCCCATCATCGATGCGTTCATTTGCATGCCATGTCATGAGTGATGCTGTTTTTGTTGACATGAATAGCCTTTGGAGCCTTGGCTTTAAAGGAAAATGTCTTACTTGTTTGGCAGGAATTTGTGTTACTTTAGTGGTTCCATCCTCTAAACGAAAGTTCGATTCATTATATCTTGGTCTCCCACAAATTTCACATTTATCAAGCATTTTTTTGTCTTTCCAAAACAACATACAATCCTTAGGACAAGCATCATACTTTGTGTAACTAAAGCCTAAGGCTTCATTGAACTTCTTTGCTTCATAGTATGAGTCCGGCAATGTTTCACCCTCGGGAAATGCCTCCTTCAACAACTCAAGCAACATATCAAATGATGTATCAGTCCATCAATTAAGTACCTTTATGTGCAACAATCGAACAACAAAAGAAAGAGTTGTGAACCTCTTGCAACTTGGGTACAACTCACGTTGTGCATCTTCTAATAGTTTAAAAAAAAAATTTGTCTCCTCATTAGGCCCCAATCCCATATTTTCATGTATTTGATTTTCAGTAAAGACGCCATCTTCCATTGGAACTCGAAATGTGTCATGTACCAAACCAATCATATCATCAATTACATCGAATTCTTGATTTTCATTCACTTCATTTCTACCACATGGAGCCAAGGCCTCCCCATGAATTGTCCATCTTATGTAGTTAGTGTTAAACCCATTTATGATGATATGCTCTCTTACACCATTTCGTGTCTCATATCTAAGGTTAACACATTTCTTACATGGACAATATATCTTCGACTCTAAAGGCTTATTAGCATAAGCAAACTCAATAAACTTTTCAACCCCTTCCACATATGTAGGGTCTAACCTATTTTTTATATGAATCCAATCCTTATCCATACCAATTATCTTCAAGATTACCTGAAATTTTATATGTAAACACGTATATAACAAAGAAATTAAAAAGTATGAGTCAACATATAATTAGCATGATTATATACAATAAAGAAATTCAAAAAAAAAAGAAGGTGCAAGTTTGAATGTAAACATAGAGAATCATTTGCCTTAGTTAGTTGGATTGCCGAGTGTCTTCAAATAACTTATTTTGATACATATCAACACAAAAAGAAAGAATCATAAATATAGGACAGTTGGCATCTTAATTCCAAGAAGTCTTTGTTTAAGGATAGAATTTTTTCAAGGATTGCATGTTTAAGGACAAAATTTGTTTCAATGTTTATGATACAATGTTTAAGGACAAAACAACTAAATTCTGAATTTGTGGGAGATGTTTAAGAACAAAATTTGTTTAAGAAGTCCTTGAAAATTCTGTATACAGAATTGTCCTTAAAAATTCTGAATTTTCTGAATTTTTTAAAACTTCAGTTTAAACATAATTTTTAAACTTCTGAATTTTCTGAAAACTTCTGTTTAATCATAAAATACTATATGCTGTTTAAAATTCAGAAGTTTATAAAATTATGATGCTGTTTTCAGAAAATTTATGAATTTTCTGAATTTTAAAACTTCTGTTTCAAAAATTCTGTATGCTGTTTTAAAATTCAGAATTTTAAATCTTCTGTTTCAGAAAATTCAGAAAATTAATCATAATGAAAATTCTGTATGCTGTTTAAAAATTCTGAACTGTCCTTAAAAATTCTGTATTCTATATACATGATGCAATCCTTGAAAATTCTGTATGCTGTTTTCAATGCTGTTTTGTCCTTAAAATTCTGCATCATACAACTAACTAATTCTACATCATCCTTAGGAACAAAGACTCCAAGAACTATTTTTTCATGTACTACAAACATAATTTTTCCAAAAGCTAAGTCTTTGTTTAAGGAATTGTGTTATGATATCCACTACTTATTTGAGTACATGAAAAAACTACATGAACTGATATTACTCATTTTTAGTCTTTTGGTTAAATTTGGAGTTTCTAGCATCAACTATTGTAGCTAGGACTGTTATGAAGGTTTTTTGTGGCAATGCCTCTTGATAGTCATGTGAAATGTTTGTGATAGTAGTCAGTGGCAGTTTTGAATTGCTACATGAGTTTGAAAGTTTAAATCTTCCGATTGGTTTCTTATCAAAGTCTATTCAGATTTGAGATAAAGATGTTTATGGTGCTTTTCTAGGTTGGGACTGTCGTAAGCAAAAAGGACTGGAAAGTAAGATGGGTAGTCATTAGGAAGGTTTGAAATTCAAATTGTTGTGGGTGTGTGCAGGCAAAGTTTGTGTGTGTGTGTGTGTGTGTGTGGTTGGCAACCAAGCTTTTGAGTAAAATTCATTCTAGTGTAAATGCTTTAAGGTTGCATTTGAAATTGTGAATTTGACATGAGTAGATTCAGAATGAATAGTTTTGCATTTTAGGTACCTTTAAATTTCAATGACAAACTTGGGTGAATTTGAGAGTGAATTTGAAATTCAAAAAAAAAAAAATGTGGAAGGGGTTGGAGCATCCTAGAATGGAAGAAGACAAAAACACTCATGTCTCTTGATTTCAAAACATTTTCATCCAAACGCACTGTGCCCTGACTGTGTTAATGGAGGGGGGAACATGAAAGGGACTATGATGACCCACTATTTAATTT